GGTAAAAACAAGTTTTGTCGAGAACAAAAAAGCTTTGTTGAGAAGAAAAACCCTATGTTAAATATGATATTGATTTAATTTGTTGTTAATTCTAATTTTGTTTTAATAATAGAATTAGAAAAATTAGAATGGCACTAGTGTTATTAAGAACAAAGTTTGATGGGTTAACTGACTTTTTAAACGTTTTTTTAGTGTTTTTGAATGGGTATTAGTCTAGTAATATAGGAACAAATTAGTGCCAATCTGAATAAATTTCCCTTTTTTATATACTTTACTAAATTAGGACTCGCGTTGATACGCGGGTAAGCACATTATAAATATTTAAGTATTAGCTAGCAACCTTTTGAATTACAAACATATTTTGAAGTACTATTTAAACATGGGTTTAAAATCACTAGAGATTATCTAATATCTTAATTCTCACGTCTTAATTCATATCATGCAAATCTCTATATATAAATAAATGAAAAAAATATTCTTACACATTATCAATATATATTAATTATCTAATAAAATCTTAAAAACAATTAAAATATTATAAAGTTAAATTAAAAAAAGAGAAATTTAAAAAAATGCCACTTTTCAAGTGCCACTTTACAAAAATACCATCTTTTTACAATATTTACAAAAATGCCACTGTTTCAAAATTATTTATTCATTATATCATTTATGTTTGGGTTAACTATGTTGTATTAGGGTTTAGTTTTGAGGGTTTAAGGGGTTTTAGAGGTCAAAAGATTTTATAGGGTTTAGAATTTGAAGATTTAGGCTCGAAAAAATCATAATTAGTGGCATTTTTGCAAATAGACACAAAAATGGCATTTTTGCAAATGTCCAAAAAAAAAAACCATGTGTATAATCTCATAAAAACCTATATAATATTTTATAAATATTTTTATCAAGCATCACATATAAATCCATGATTGATAAATGTATACAATTGATATCATTGGTTTGTTTCTCAAAGAGATCTATACTCGTCAAACCTTAAACGTGTATAAATATTCATTTTTGACAATTTTTTTTTAATATTGAAAAGTACCAACACCGTCATATGTAGAAGATTTTAATTTTTCCTTGTGATATTTTATAACTATGTTCACAAAATATGCTTATAGATTTTTTTTTCTTTGATATGGTTGTGCATATCTTAAACTTTAAATTGAGATTTTCATATCCTTTCAAATTTTTTGTTTTTCAATTGATATACTATCTTTTGTTTTATCATTTACATTTTATTTTTCTTAATTAAAAAATTCATTTCTTCTCCAATTTTTTTTTTTGCGGTTTATACACCATCTATTTTCTTTCTTAATTTATTTTCATAATTAGTTTCAACAATTATATTTTCTTTTATCTAGTTAGTTTGGATTATTAGAAATTTTTCTTTTTCTAATTCGTTTGAACTATAGAACATTTGATATTTTACTATTTGGTTAGTCACTTGATAACTATTTTGTCCGTTTTTCATTTTTATTTTTACTTTTTCTTAATTAATTTTATCTATCAACACATTGCATCATCTAATCAATATTGGCCACATGTCGTGATCGTAATTTTGCTTACATGTCATGCTCACGTTGACCGCAAACCTTAAACACTCTTGAAACTTTTTATTTTTTTTTGTCAACACTGTTGGATCTTAATAGCAAATA